TTCATATCGACCAAAACCAAGAAAATGAACCTTTATAGTGAAAATCATCGTAAGGGTCGGGAGGTTATATGTCTATGGGTTGAAATTACATTCAAATAAGATTGACCAACACATTAAGTATATACCTAAATGGTCAATATGAGTGAACCAGTTCATTTTGTTCATATTTACAAAGTGGTCATGATGTTCATATTTACCAAAACCAAGAAAATGAACCTTTATAGTGAAAAATCATCTTAAGGGTCGGGAGGTTATATGTCTATGGGTTGAAATTACATTCAAATAAGATACTGCTTAGAATCTTTTCTCAACATAACGTCGTGATCAAGGATTGTCATTTTCCTTCTACAAACAAAAGTACAAATTATAATATGTTAAAAGAAGGAAAAAATATTATTTCTACAAATGTAAATCATGGCATTTAATGGTTTATATAAAATACATGTAAACATTATACTAAGATTAATAAGCACATAATGTACGTATACAAGATATTTCAAAGGTTTAAATCAAATAAAAAATAAAAATTTACCTTGATATTAAGCGTTAAAGAGGTAAATGTTTGAGTTATTAACTTTTCATAAAAATAGATTTCATGTGGATGCCTTTTGATGTTTATGTTGTATAAAAATAAGGTGCCACGTAATTAGATTGCCATTAGATGTATTAAAACTAAAAAAGCCATATAATCCTTAACTTAATAGGGTCGGGTTACAAATGAATTTTATATTTTTAGATACCCGATCGGGTAGACAGACTTAAAACCCCTGTTTATTGATGCGGCAATACCACAAAGTATTTGTAAACATGATTAAGCTAATCAGCTATACAGTACAACAAATGTCACAGTTAAATACTAAAATAAAGCTATAGTTGTACAATACTATACATAAATATAAAATTAAGAGAAAGAAGAAAAGAACAAACATAATGCTATTAGTAATTAGAACTTTAGAAGTTAGAAGCATACCTAAGGCTCTCTGTACTCAACCATAACACTACCAAACAGATTATAACAAAATGCATATTATTGAATCCTCATCTATCTCCTACATAACTTTAAATCCCAAATTCCATTTTTATAGAGTAACGCGTCAGCAAGAATTTTTAACCAATTGAACACCTATCACATAGTAATTGGTATTGAATAAATCCAGTATGAGCACATAGGTTTCGCAAGCTTGATTACAATGTTAGGTTTTCCATAACTTACCTTAAAAATAAAATGCTACCACCTTCAGTTGGAACAACTTTTCAATTTCAAATAAATGATTTCTCCACCCCTTTTGCTTTTTTGTTAAACTTCTTTTACAGACAAAACAAACAGGAAAACCGACTCCATAAAATCAATAGGGTGACGACATTATTAGGGTTTGTAAAAATCAATAAACTCTGATTTTTTGGGTTTGGGGATTATGGGCGCCTATACGAAAATTAGAATTTTAGGAGGGACTCAAAGTTACTTTTTAAAATTTTGTTATTAGCAAAAAAATGGTGATAATTATATATGTATTTAGTGACACATAATATTCATAAGTTAAAAAAATTATTATTCATTATGATTTTTTATAAAAAAAAAATCTAAAAATTACTTTTATTATGTTAATTCTATGCATTATTATTATTATTATTTCCAACAACATAAAAAATTAAAAATTAATGAGATTTGTAAGATGATGAATGGCCGTAATCTGAAAGCGAATTCCTTAAAGGATTAAGCACCAAACGGCTTAAGGTGGCAAGTAGCTCAGGTTGAGCGTACCAAGGAGTACACAGCGCGTACTGGAAAGCGATCATATATGCCGTGTGTTCATTGTGTACACCAAGCGTACGCCTCTCAGTGGGCTTTTGGACTTTGTTTGGGCTTTGAACTTTTAGGCCTTAGTTGGTTGTTGGGATTTGGCATGTTTAGATTAGGTGGGCCTGGAAATTCTATTAGTGGACTTGAATTCTATTAGTGGGTCTTAAGTTGTTTGAGTTGGGTCTTAGAGTCTATTATTTTGATTTTAGGCCAAAGTTGGTTAAGCCCATTATGAGAATGTTAAATGGGCCCTTATCTTAGGAGTTTGGACTTGGGGTTTAGGCCCACAATTATGGTTTATAACATGTATCTGATTAGAGTAATTTCCATATGTTCAGGGTAGGATCTTCCGGTTTGGTAGCCGAGCAGATAGTTATTTATCATCGGACTGAGGTGAGTTTTCTCACTGTATCAATGGGTCGAAGGCATCAAGGCTGGCCCATTATTTGTGATATAGGGTGTTAGTTATATTTTAGATAAGCGTATGAAAGACCAAGATTTGGCCCCTGGAAACTGTATGACAAACCAGGATATGGCTCCTGACATCAATATGAAAGACCAAGATCTGGTCCCGTGGCAGTTGTATTGAAGACCGGGATTTGGCTTTTGACAGGAAATTTCTTGTAAGACTAAGGTTTGTCCCATAGCACAAGCTTATTAATGTTTGGTATGTGGTAGTTTGGAGAAACTCAATAAGATTTTGCTTACAGTTTATAGTTTTGGTTTCAGGTACTTTGGGTACTAAGGCGAGGGGCTTGGCGTGATGGCATAACATTCACTCCTTACTATTTTCCACAATTTTGATATTGCACTCTGATGATTTGACATTGTTGTTATGTGATGGTTTTGGAACAATGTGATGATTTTAACTCTTGTTTTCTTTAAAATGAAAAAAAATATTCTGGTTTTTGGGTCATTACATTTTTGCTATTCTATTTTCGATTAAGTACACTGCCTTCAACGTAACAGTTAGTTAAACTAGTTGGTTTAAATTAGTGTATAAAAATACATATCACCACCTCTAGAGGTGATTGCATGCTACTTGATGAGACATGCCACTCGTCAATGAATTTCCTCAAGCAAAGAAGTTCCTCACCATTCTCACTCTCTTGTAGGTGGGAACAACTGCTTACTCATTATGGAACATGAAGTAGTGATCATGCATTCATCAGGGGACATGGAGTCCTGTGGCTTATAAATTAGAGTATATAGTTCAATACTTAAGGCTTATATCTTATGACGTATGGATTGTGGCTTAGGGCTTATGAATGATCACTTATGGTTTATGTCTCAGGGATATTGACTTAAGGCTTAAAGCTTATAACTTATAACTTATGGCTTATGGCTTATGATGTATGGCTTAGGGTGTAGGGCTTAGGAATAAGTCTTATATCATATGTCACAAGCTATAAGCCATAAGCCATAAGCCATAAGTCAAAATACATAAACCATAACCAATAAGCAATAAGCCATAAGCTTATAACTTAATGATTACGTCTTAAAAAGTATGGTTTAAGGCTTATGACTTATGTTTTATAGCTTTTGGCTTATGGCATAGGGCGTATGTCTTAGGTTTTACAGCTTTAGGGATAAGGATTAAGGCTCAAAGATTATAGCATATAACTTAAGGAATAATGCTTAGATTTTATGACTCGTAGAGTAACGCTAGGACCCGTGGATTATATGTTATAAGCTATGGGTTATGGCTTAATGTTTAAAAGTTATGACTTAGGCCTTAGGGCATATGACTTTATGCTCATAGTTTTGTACTTAAAGGCCCATTCCTAAAGGCCATATCAACACCCACCCCACCCTACTTCCACCTCAGCCCATTCTCCAAACTCTACCTTTACCCAAATCCATACCACTAATTAACCTTATCCCATATCCACACCCACACTCACACGCCCACCCACCCCTTACCCCGTATAACATAAACCCCCACACCTACCTCCATACATACACCTAAACTTATATGCATATTTCCACAAGCCCATGTTGACGCTTAACCCACCCTACCCCTAACTCACTTCCACCTCCAAACCCTACCTCACACCAACCCTATCACCCAACCCAACCCTTACACACACGTCAAACATACTTTAAATAAGGTTTAACTTTCATTATCATAGTTGAAATGTAACACTCCAAATCAGGTTTGACCTTGTATCCCTTGAAGTATTATTAATAAGTCACAAGAGACCCTTAAGTATGATGGGCGTACTTGGCAAGGAGGATCGCAGAGGGACAACACGCACGCTGGGCATACGTGGAGTACGTTGGGCATACATGCCAGGATGTTCAAACCCTAATGTTAGGACTTAAGACCTATATAAATGCCCTTAACTCCTTTGAGCCTCATCCTCAACAGCGTCTTTCACCTTCAAACGCCTCTGAAAACCCTAATATCCATTGTGAGCACATTTTGAGCCTTGGAAGTGAAATTGTGGTCCTTTTAGTGTTCATCCAAGAAGAAGGAAGTGGTCACTACTAGAAAAAAGGCCTTTTACGACGCTCATTGCGCGTCGTAAAACGCTCAGACGACGCGCAAATGTGTGTCAAGGAAGGCCCTGTCATAAAGAGAGACGACGCGCATTTACGACGCGCATTTATGACGTGCATTTACGACGCGCGGTTATGACACGCAATGCGTATCAAGGAAGGCCCTGTCATAAAGGAAGACGACACGCATTTGCGTGTCGTAACCTTATGACGTGCGTGTTTATGACACGCAATGCGTATCAAGGAAGCCCCTGTCAAGAAAGGCCATGTCATAAATGAAGATGACACACATTTTTGCGTATCATAATTTTAAATGTTTAAAAAAATATTATTTATAGATTTGCTTATTTTCAAATTAAATTTGTATTTAATGTTTAATAATAGATAATAAAATATCATATACAAAAATAGAATCCATTGCATAAATTTAATGTCATACAAATAATCGTTCCATATGTAAACAAATATATACCAAAAACATCATGTCAAAAAATTGTAATACATTTATATTAAGGGGATCTAATTGTACATTGTTATTAAGAGGTTTTCCCTAAATATATAACATAATACTAAATTGCTATTAAGGGACACCTTATGCAATGTAATGCTATACAAACTAAAAAGATATACACAAAGATGATAAACATCAAATTCCAACTAAGTAGAGTTGAATCTTGCCTTTCATACTTCTTTAAGACTAATATTGAACCCCTGCTCCGATAATTCTTGTGACCTGATCAAATAAAAGTCAAAAAATTAATATGTTAATACAATTATTAGAAGAATCAAACTTGGAATGTTAGTTGTAAAAGACGAAATTACCCTTTTCTCCATCCAAAGAATTTGGGATTTGGAATAAATACACTACAATATGAATTACCTAATATCAACAATGACAAACACAATGACAAGAATACCCGCATACAAATGGTAAATATTATCTGTAAAGCTATCAACAATGATATTCACAATGATAATCTTTGATCATATAAACTAGAGAGTATATCATCACAATACCATCTAACACCACCCATTAGAACACGTAAAGCTACTCAACCAACATATCATGTCCTGTAATGTATTTTTTGTCAGTATATCTTCACATAGAAAACAAAAGTGAAATAAATAAAAATAACAACCTTCTCATTTACTGAAAATGGATATTGTTCACATATATGGGAGCCATTTTCAGAATTACCATCCCCATTTACCTGAAATCATTCATGCCATTTTAACTCAAATAATTTATTTATAGTAAAAAAATAAATATTTTATAATTATATTGTTTTGATTATATAATATATACCCATCTGTCACTGACTCCTCATTCGTCATAAGAATGAACAAATATTTTAATTAATTACCTTGAAATGATAATAATATAAATACTATAACACCATGGCATGGTATATTTGAATAATACCTAGTGTAGCATCCGAGATAAGACGTTGACTTGTTGCTTGAGCAGATTTTGTGGTGTATGCTTTAAGGGCATCATCCCACCGTTGCAGCTTTTCATACCTTGTATTTGGAAGCAACATAAACAATTAATATTTTGAGAAAATAAGACAATGTAAATGATTTTAGGGTCCTGGAAATATACCATGATTCCTTCAGTTGTAAATCCAAACAACATCCCATATATAGTTATATACTTAAGAGAGTGAAAAAAGGAAAGTGAGCTAGTTTCTATATATGCTTACCCTCCAAAAAGATAGAAGTGAAAGTATCCAAAAGAAAGCACTTATCCACCTTGATTCCTTATATGCAATTCACACTTGATCAAAAGAAGCAATCAAACATTATTGTTATAACAAAAGTCGAAAAATCTCCTTTTCACTATAGTTGGAAAGTATATAATAAACAAAGACTTACTGCTACAATGACAATACAAAAATAGAAATCGGTTGTTGTTGCTATCATGCACCTGTGAGCATTTACAACTATGTATGAGCATTTACTATTACACTTTTTTACATAAATTAAATAAAAGGGAAATTTTAAATGGTACCTTGATAATACATTGGCATTGAATGTAGATCCATCAACGATAAGCACATAAATAAAAGTTCCCAACATCAAGTAGCCTAGTGCAGAAATGATTATTTTTGCAATTAAAACAAAATGTCCCCTTTTGTATCCCATGGCATCCCTATATAAGCCAAATATATAATAAAATTACAAGCATTTTAGCAAACATTTTTACTTGATTTTAGTTTTTCTTATCGTTATTGGACATGTCCCTCAAAAGATATAATGGATCCTTTGATGATTCTTCTGGTGACAACTTAAGGAACTACAGAGCCACGTATCATTTGTAATAGGGTTGTAGAAGGAATGAAAATTTACTTAAAACATGTTACACTTGTAATTAATAGTAATAATAATAATAATAAAGTTTAATTACCTTCCTGCAAAAAGTACAACATGTATCAATACAGCTGCCTTGATCCAGCATGATTCCTTGTAGACTATCCAAGCCTAAGATTGCAAGTATATACACAACCACATATAACTCCATTTGATTCAACAAGCTTGTAACACCATGGTCAAGATCAGTTCCAAAATCCCCAGTAAACACGCCACCTGAATAGAACTGGAAACCCATGCCACTGGCATCAATGGCAACTGATACGGGTTGATTAGCGACTGCCTGTAACAATGCGGATTCACTGTTGGCTGGCACGTTTTCATACCCAGTAATGGTGGCAGCATGGACAGCTTCTTCCTTGGTGTTGCAGGTTCCATCTGTTGCCTGATATGGGTAAGCCACCTCAGTGTTGATGCCTTTGTTTTTAACGATAAAGTCAAATCCATCTTCCATCTTACTGTTACCGTTTTCCGTAGAGCGACCATTTAAAGGAGGGGAAGAAGCAAACCCAGTGTAATCACCTGAATTCAAATAATAAAAAAATGAGATAAAAAATGATTATTTTTCTTTTTAAGGTAGCAGCAGAAAATTAGTTTACCGTTTGTTTGTGCTGGAGAAGATGCGTTTTTTAATTTTTCAGCAGATGATTTGCCAGGCGATTGTTTAAGAGGGCGAATAACCAGAGCTCTTGGCCCATTGTTTTTCGGGTGATACTTTCTAGCACCCCACGAATTTTTTACCAACCAGTACTTCATGCCAAAGCTGTGTATATGATGTATTCAGCATCACCACAGACAACAACATACCTCCTATTTGGGTTGTGCTTCAAGCTCTGTGGAAAAATAGAAAAGTCAAAGTCCATATGGTTGACTATTTTCAGTTTAAAGAAAGGTAGGAACAAGCATAACTCACTTGTGGATAAAGATCACATGTTCCCAGTTCTTTAACTGCTAAAGGCAGCCTCTCTCCATCAGAAACCTGAATAAAAAATAGATTTTTTCCCATTTCATTGTTAACATAACATAACATGTATATGGGCTTTAAAGTCCAAACCTCATGATCAGCTCCCACACTCTTGATGTTAATAGTTTGAATTTCATTATGTTTAGCCCATATAATTTTTCCACTATTGTCCATGCTGGCTACAGGCTCTTCACGTCCAATTTTCACCATTATGGTTCCTTCATCATAGCCAATAACAATCCTGTAAAAACAGTAATTAAAATAAATCCAGATGAATGAAGAAGCATCAAGATTCAAGACCCACAAAACAAAAAACAAAAAGTGCTATACAAACTTACCGATGTGAACCTTTCATGTATCCAACAGCCCAAACCCTTTCAAGTCCATAGTTCAAGGTGTTCTCAAGTCTGAATAAAAAAAAGAGTGGCATAAAGTCAAAAAGTTTACATTTTTAACATATGTATAATGAGGGTATTTTGGTCTTTTGATAGGAAATAAAGAAAGAAATTGAATTCCTTCCATCCATCAAACATGGAATTTGAAGGAATCCAACAAAAATTGAATTCCATCCATTTGGAAACCAAACACACCATGGAATGGAATCTAGCATTCCGATTCTTTTAGAATCTACAAAACAAACACACCCTTAAAGGTAAAAAACAAGAGCTCACCTGTAAGTGGTTGAATGCCATATATGGATAGTACCATCTTCTGAACCTGTCATTATTATTGGAAGCTCGGGATGGAAACATACAGCATAAACATTGTGTGTGTGACCTTCTAGAGTTTGGACACAAGTTTTAGTTAGCAACTCTACAGTAACAGATCACAGTTGTGACCGTATTGCTGGATTCTCATATTGAGATAGTAAAGGGAATCAAATCAGTTTAGAAATTGTAAGTAAATGAGATTCAATTCCTATTACATAAATTAAATTCCAACTCCTAAACACTAAATTGATTTTTTTATCATTATCAAAACACAATTGGCTGATTACTACTCATGTGTATGTATAATAATAGTAAATTGAATCTAATAGGAATACATAAAATTTTATTTACCTGTGAGGTTGTCACTGTGGCAGGTTGCTTTGAACCTTGTTCATTAACCTTTGGACAATCCTCTTTTGGTTCAAACATTTAGTCAAACACGTAGTGTGCATAAAAAAATCAGGTACTTATATCATAAAATATTAACAATTCCATGAAAATATATGAGAGAGGGTAAAAAGGCACGAAAAATCGTCCAAAAAGAAGGACCAGTAGGACATGAAACAGGTAACTATGGTTGAAAAAGGAAGAATTACCTTTGAAATAGGCCTACTACGCAGATGAAATAGGCAACAGTGGTGGTATAGTGGTGGTTCTGGGCTGTTGCGAAGGCAGTGTGGTGGTGGCTCAGGGCTGGTGTTGTGGTGCGATGTTGTAACGATGGAGTCTGAAAGCAAACACAAATTGTGATGGAAGCTATTGTTGTTGGTGATGTCCGATTCATCAAAAGAAAATCATTCTTCGATCAATCTTCTATTTTGTGAAAGAAGATATTACTATTTCAAATGTGTTATGTTTGATTAGGGTTTGCACATAGAAGGAAGGGAAAGTCGATCGGAGAGGAAGGGGTTTGCAGAGAGAAAGAAGGGAGAGAATGAAGTCGATTTTGGCGGGTGTAGAGAGTAGAGAGGAAGAGGAAGCGGGTGTTCAAAATTTTGGGGGATTTAGTTTGCCCCCTTACCTATCAAGGAGTCCCATAAATGCGCGTTTATTAAAATTATAAAGCGACATTTATAGAGGACGCCCGTTTTATTATAGGTGCCCTCCGTGTTTTTAATATTTTTACATGAGACACTAATTTAAGGGCAATCAGTAATGCGCGACCTAAATCCTTAAAATTTTTGAAGAGATGGCACTTTTTTAATGTCGCTCTCTAATGCGTAACATAAATCAAAGAGCGTCGTGTTTTGCGCGTCGTAAAAGGCCTTTTTTCTAGTAGTGGGTCAAGGAAGCTTGGAGTGTCGTTGGTTTCAAGAATCTACTTATAGTCGACTTTTAGAAGTTCCTGAAGGTAAAAAGCTTGAATCTTTACGCTAAATGTTTAGATATAGTTAGGGTTTCTAGTTTGGTCCCTTTTGTTGGTTTGGACCTTTTCTTTGGAGTTAATCAACTCCAGAGAACAAAAATGGTAGAACTGAGGCCCCTTAGTCATGTTTCAACACAAAAATGGAGTCTTGGTGGAATTTTTGGCCTCATGCATGGGTTAAGAACTTTGGGAATGTCTTAATGGGGGTGTTGGGTGTTTATGAAGCATGCAAAGGCATAAAGTTGCCAACTTGATGCCTTAGGACGTATTAAATAGCTCTGATCTAGCTTTTAGACGTAAAGGAATCGGGCATTAAGCACTTAATGGAGAAAGTGATTAATCTGGTTGTACGCTGGGCGTAACCTGGTGTACGTTGCGCGTAGTCCCAAATCCCAGTACGTCGCGCGTACTAGGATGGTACGCCGAGTGTACGTAGTGCAGATGGGCCAAATCTATTTTGGGCCTCTGAGCTATTTGGGCCTCATGGGATTTTTGGGCCTAGTGTATTTTATGAATTATGGACTATTTTATCTATTATGGGCCATAAATTTATTGGTTGGGCCTTATTGGACCAAGAGGCCCATTAGTAATTTTGGGCTTCGATTTTGGGTCCAATAGCAAGGGAAGAATGATTAAGCCTCATGAATGGGTTTGGAGTTTAGGTTTTCCTTTGACCAATCTAAGGTGCTATTATTGATTAATATTATTATTCAGCTCGGGAGGTTTCAGATTGTTAGGAGAGCAGCTTTCATTTTTGGTAGACAAAGGTGAGTCTTCTCACCATATCAATAGGTCTAAGGCACCAAGGCCGGCCCATTATGTGACATTGATATACGTGTTAGTTATTATGTGTTTGATATGCTATATGATTGTGTGTTTTGTATATAGTCCATGGGAGAGCCCATGTCACTTTGATGTAACACCGCGAGGAGAGCCCATGGCTTTCCTATCAAAGACCATGGGAGAGCCCATGACACTTAGGTGTAAGACCATGTGGGCGAGCACATGACATCCTGTAGTAAGTCCCTGGGGACGAGCCTACGACATCCTTATCTGTTGTATTCATGGCTTACGTGATATGTGTGTGGCTTTAATTAGCTAACAAGATATGAGTATGTGTTTTGTGTGTGGTATGCTCTGGGGAACTCACTAAGCATTTCTCTTATAGGTTTTTGATTTGTTTCAGGTATAACTGAGCCCAAGGGCAAGGGCAAGGCATGATGACGCGGCATGCACTCTTTCTCTCTCTTTCACCATTATGGCTTGGGGGCACTCTGATGATTTGAATAAGTTGTAATGAATCGTTGATTTGAAAACAATTATGTCAGGAATTCTTGGTTTATGCAATTATGTTTTATCAATTAAAAGTGAAAATTTTCTTTGAAAATTTGGGTCGTTACATGAAACTTCAAGTTTGAGTTATTGAGTTTATTCAAATTTTAAGTTTATATATTTTGAGTTAATCTAATTATTTTTTTAATTTTGTTAATTGTTTCAGATATATTTAAAATTTCACCCAATACCTAACCTTACACCAGATCACCTCTACATCACATCATACTAACATCCACACCCACATATACCCCCACCCACGCAACCGTAGACCCACACACCCCATTCGACCCCACATCCATACACATATGTTCTTACCTACGTAAATGTTAGCAAGATATCAAAGATAAAGGCGTATTTATAAAATCTTTTTAGGTTTTTTACTATTAAAAAATATTTGAAGACACGTATTAAATCATAGTAATTAGATAACAAATAGATAAATGATTTATGTGGCATTGGTTATAAAGAAAAAAAAATCCACTTTAGTCTCCAATCGTTAATTTCAATGTTGAATTGAAAATATCCTTGATCCTTCTTTTTCTCAAAATTTTGATTACCGATATTAATTCTTTTAATTTTCACAGCCTATTGAAACCCTAAATTTTTTTAAAACTTAAAACCCGCTTTGATCACAAAAAGGATTAGAGCATCCTATTGGTGTAAATGGAGAACTACGTAAAACGATATTGAAGCCCCTTCGCCACGGCCACAACCATTAAAACTCCATTGACCCACCACTTTCTGATTACCAGACAATCAGTCGAAGAAGATGAAGATGACAGGGGTTTTAGCAAAATCACTTTATGTTTTATATATTTCTTCAATTCCTAAAATCTCTGCTAAATCCGAGCAATCCGCAAGCGGGATTCTGGTTTCAAGTAAAGCAGTTTGTTTTACTTCATTCGCTGTCAGATATAGAAATGGAAATAATCTGTACAATTGTAAAATAGATTGAATATAGATGCACTGACTGATCTCTCTCTCTCTCTCTCTCTCTCTCTCTAGAAAGCTTCAACTTCATATTCATGCTCACCACCACTAAACCAACACCGCTTCTATTTAACTCGATGGTCATGCTTTGACTACATTAAGTTCTGAATGGTTATGTATTCGTTGATAGAGATGGGAAATAGTTTTCCCATGTTTTAAATTGGTTAAGAGATGGTTTAGTTCCTAATTTTTCAGATTTAGAGTGTTCACAGCTTTTGCAAGAGGCGGCCTTAGAGTGTTCAGCTTCTTATATGTTGCTTCTTCTTTTCTCTTTGAATTTATCTTTTGGTCTATTATTTTCAAATTCCCCTTTATAGATTTGACTGGTTGTTATATACCATGAATTAAAGGATTAGTCGATAGGATAAATCATGTCTTGACTCTTGAATAGGAGAAAGTAGAATAAATCTCTCTGGATTGATCTTTCAAAATTGGTATGATCAAATACAACTTTTGTGTGAAAAAGATTTGTTGTTATATCAAGTACTGCCATGAAGCACATGATCATACAACATTATTATACTAAAAAACACATATATTTTCACTCTTTTGATCTAATTCTTCCATTACCACTTATGTAGGACTTGTCTTTTATGGTACTAAAACAATATTTATGTTTGCCTAAAAAATGTTTTATTCTCGAGTGTTAATCTTTATTGTGCAAAATTTCAAGTAATTTGTATCTAACTTAGGGGTTATATTTTTTCCCAATTAAGTCATGTATAGATTAATTGGCTTAATGGTAACGAAGTCTTTATGTATAGAGTGATATATAGTGTAAACATAAGGATTGTTTCTTTTGTTGGTTTAATAAAGCATCTAAATACTAACTGAGCATTTTGCCAAGCATACCTACAATGACTTTTCAAAATATTCATATTAATCAAATTTTAAATTAAATTTCAAATTATGGATTATAAAAACAACAAAGTCCACGAAAAAAGTTGTTGAATCTAAGACTTTATTCCACTGTTATTCCTAAGATACCAACACTTTCACCAAAAAAATCCACTTCCGCAAGTCAGTTTTTTTGACAAGCTATATATATATATATATATATATATATATATATATATATATATATATATATATATATATGTATGTATGTATGTATGTATGTATGTATTTCTTTCTATCATAAATCATTGTAGGCAATCAAGTGTAGTCCATCATATCCAGATAAAAGGAACATCGTTTCTCATGGTGTCATTCACTTCTTTGTGCATTACACTTTTTCCCTTCATAAACTAATCTACTAAGTTTTTTGATGAACTCATTTTTGTTTCATTATTGTTGGTATAGTTAACAAATATGATATCACCTCAAAACCATGAACTTCAAAACTCAAAGAGGCAGAAAAAAACTTTTATATTATCTGATACCCTTCTAAAGAAGACAAGCAATAGTACCAACAATATGAATTCCTAATTATGTCTAGTTTTTGGTTTATGATTTTTTTTATTTATTTTTCAGATTTTAATACGTGTAATTAGTACAATTTTTATTTTTTGGTATTTTAATTACGAATTTAATGTATGGATTTGGATTTCAGTTATTGATAATATCAGATTCTAAATTTTGATACTGTTTCATATTGTCGGGTTTTTGTTACTGTAATTTATATTATGTTGGTGTGTTTACAATATAGAAAAAGTGACAATAAAAATTGAATTACTATCACTATGTAACACCCTGTTCTGAATTGTTTCCTATGTGCGGATGGTGACCCAAAGACTTAGTATCATCAGGCTTAGGGCCTTTGAGGAAAATAGATTTAGACCCATTTGGGTATGGGTAATGTAATTTGGATGATCCGAGAGTTCGGTGTATGTTTTGGCACCAAGGGATATTTTGGTAAAGTATCATTTTGAAATGTTATAAATTTTGGATTTTTGTTCGGAAAGTTTGAAGGCAAGGATGAGTTGATAGAATTATAAACATTCTCATTACCTTTCTATGGATATAAAGAACGTCAAAATTGGAGTTAGATCGAAGAAGTTTTTCCTGTTTGAAGTTTGGTCGGTTTTGGGTTATGCTGAGTACGCTAGGCGAACAGAGGGGAGTATGTTGGGTGTACTGAGACACCCTAAGTA